TAGTAATTTTAAGAAAATATTCTCAGTGTAATCTTAGAATAAAACTGTACTATAAAATCCTTTTTTCAACAAACAACCTTGCATTAATAATATTAACAATATTTAATAACCTTTTCGACTACGAGGTTTTGAATAAACGAAGCAATTCCTTCATTTAACCATAGGTAAGGCCACAAAGATGGAGTGACTAAGTTGCCAAACCATTGAAGTGCAAGTTTATGTGTTATAAACATTGTTATGAAAATTTTCTCATATGTTGGATCCATCTCTTTATCGTAGATAAGATTTGAATAACTGAAATAATATGATATAAATGTAAAATGTCATTGAACGTGCAGTCTGAGTTAAGTTTGAGTAATTATATTACAATTATGTTATGTCATAATTCTCTTACGTAAATAATTTGAATATTTGGAATTTTTTTCTTTTTGTACATATATATATATATATATGTATATATATATATATATATGCAGGGATGAGAAATAAATAACACCGTAATTTTTACAGTTATTTTTTGTAATAACATTGTAGTAATTTCAATTTTTTTGTCGATAAAGATAACTTTAACTAAAAACTAAAAGTTAGAGAAATCACTTTTAAAAAGTAGCTTATCATTATTACGAGTTATCCATTGAAAAAAAATAACTCGTTGATTGTAACGTGTCGATTACTTTTATTTATTTACATTACTTTTACTTATGCTTAATTCGTTACAAATAATGTTACTTTTCTTAATAAATAAATTTTTTCAAGAAATAATGCGTAATGATAAAAATTCATTTTTTTCATAAATGTCTTCATAAATGTTCCATCTTTAACTTACTGTTAGCTGTCATCATCAAAAATTTCAACGTATCAGTTAAAAATTGACCAAACTGTTATTATAAAAAGTAACGGTAGAAATAATGAAGTTACCCATATCTGTGCGTTCCCAGATAGGTAAGTCTGTAGAAAACTATTTTTTAAATGCTACATACTTGATCTATAAAATAACAAGAATTAAATGTACATAATAATGTTAACAGACTGCTAGAAAAAACGTAATAGAATCTGCAAACATCAGATAATGTCGGCAGGATCTGCTCAACAATTTGCCATCACATTATATCGACAGGCGATGTTAACAGAACACAAGTCTAATGTGGATGGCAGTTGATGAGAGACTGCCGTCATTTTCTGCTCAAACCTGCTAACAGTCTGCTAGAAGATTGCAGACATTTTGTTATCTGGGTATAATATATGTACATATATGTTTGTACTAATATATATATATATATATATATATATATATATCATTTTAAAAAAAGGGATGGATGTACTGGTATTAAATACGTTTATGTTATTTAAGACAATTTAAATATATTAAAGTATATATTATACTTTTTTGGTATTTGTGTGATAGATACGTATCTTAAATTACTAATTTTCGAATTCTGAAATTAACATTGATTAATTTTATAAGAACTTAATTAATTTTTTATGAACTGTGTACATTACTCATAAGTGATGAGTCCCCAATTTCCTGTGCTGTCAATTGTAAACTCCGGTATCACGACGTGATCTATTTTGGATATCTTCAGGGAACAATTGGTATATTCAATCAAAATATCCGTGATCTTTTCAGAAACATTATATGCGAATCCAAGGTATGTAGGCACTAATGACGATCTATGATACCAAAATGTATGGATGGTTTCATGTACTATTGACGAAAAGCTGATGAATTGTAACATCACAATCGTTACAGTATAAGTGGGCATTATAGGAGTAGTCTCGAAATATGTCGTTCTCATATTATCTTGATCATCATATATTTCTTTTACTGGCATGTTTGATAGTATCCTATATTGTGTATGATGCATTACGGAGATGTTGAAGGTGGCTTTTAATGCTGGTTCATCCCAACATGGAAACATTCGTCTGGCCCCATTCGGCAAGAAATGTGTTACAGCGAACTCTAATCTGTTTAATAAAATATATTAAATGATAGCAAATTTTCTACCTATGTCATCTAACTTAAAAAGTTAATAAATACTGATTATTGTTAACTGTCATTAGTATTGTTACACGTAAATAAATTTTGACAAGAGCAAAAATTGAAATACTGCATAACTGTGCCGTTTTATGATTAATTTGGAATTGCAATTACCGTTTAAAATATACATATATTTTATTATGTATATGTGTGTGTGTGTGTGTGTGTGTGTGTGTGTGTGTATGTATTCATATATATGTATATTATAATTATTTTACTGGAAAACATTTTTATATATGGAAAAGTGATAAAAGCATAAGAAGTTAAAAACTGTTTATTATATGTATTTGTAAATATATTTTTATGTTTTAATATTTTCTTACTTTTGTCTTTCACTGGCTATGTACGAAAATTTCATAAAACCCAGTTTTTCGGAAGGCTCTGAAAAATAACCGACAAATGTCATATTCAGGATGTACAGGCCGGGCGAGAGTATCTCATTGAAATTCAGTGTCAAAATGTCGGTTGCATTGTTATGAGTATGTTTCATCGGTTTATAAATCGTGCCGTTATCATTGATCAATGTTGTCGCCATTTCAATTATTTCCAATTCTCTTGTATGTAAGCTTATTATTGATGATGCATAACGAATTTTGATATTGACATTGGATTCACCATAAAAAGTATAGTTGCCTTCTTTGAGATACGTTGTTAGATGGATGTTATATTGAATTGGTATTGTGTTCTTCGGTAATCGATTCATAATTTCTAAATTTTTTATACCGATGCAAAGAATCATTCTTATAGCTAATATTAGACCAATATTTAATAACAATTTTAGAAATCCCATATCGAATCCCTCTTTTTATGTATCTGCGATTGTTTTTGTTAAAGAAAAAAAAACAATACAAAATTATTGTAATTTAATATGAATTTTTATATAAAAATGAAAGAAAATTAGAAAAAATAATTTTTGCACTTTTTTATTATAAGAATCATATGTATTTAATATTTATTGAGTATACTTTGATTTGTAATTAATTTATCTTATTGTTTTTTTCATAGAATTTTTTTCTTTAAATAGAAACAAAATAAAATATTGATTTAAAAGATAATTTTAGACACATCTAAGTAGCGTGTTTACATTTATCTGTAGTGAATGTTTGCTATCATAATTAAAAAAAACGTTAACATATTGGAGTAGAGCGGGACTATTAGAGCGGTCAGTGAAAATTTACGATCTACAGTGATGTGCTTATAATTACATTATACGATCATGATTGCTTCTTGAGAGTACAAGCACAACCTTTAAATAATCAATATATGTTCTTCAGAAACATAAATATTATCCTGAGAAATGGATGAAAAAGGCACGTTCTACCATATATTTTTGTGTAAGATTTGAATTGTTTAGTTATTGATTAAGAAATTATTTAAAGGACGAAAAATTTAAATCTATTTTTTGATTCGATTTGAACATTTTGATATATTTTCACTTAATATTTAATATCGTTTATTAAGATTTTCTTAAAAAGAAAGATTTTACTCTTGAGATATACTACATAGAATTTTAAAATTATAATTGTTATGCCTCTGCAGTTTTCAAATTAATCAAAAAAATAAAAATATTGATTGAATTAATTTTTAATTTATTTGTAAAATAAATTATTAATGGAATATACACATACAAAAAAAGTATTATAAAGCTCTTATTTATGTGTTATTTTTGCACAATATAAGTATTATCTGAATACTTTCTTTTTCTCATTTCTGTAAAATATTTTGTGTGTGTGTGTGTGTGTGTGTGTGTGTGTGTGTGTGTGTGTGTGTGTGTGTGTGCGTGTGTCGTGTGTGCGTGTGTGCATGTGTGTAAATGTGAAGAACATAATATAAGAAATAATTGACATTATTTTAAAAACATAAGTAATGAAGAATTTAAAAAATATTATTTTTTTACGACTTACTTTGTATGTTACACGTTTGTGCAGATAAGAGTACAGTTGATTCGCATTAATTATAATTGATTAATTACAATTATCGATCTTTTAATATCACAGATTTCAGTATATTTGCGCGATGGACCTGCTACCTCGAAAGATTTCCGAATAATGACTGTAATGTCTCTGAAGCTATTGTGAATATGTCGTACGTGTCAATATAAAGATGACCTTTACTAAATTTTGAACTGTAAATTTTTGTTCTCGATAACAAATGTTGAGACTTATAAGGCGATATTAATTAATTATTGTCGGATCTTATATTGAAGATCATACTGATTACGATTTTAAGATGTCATGAATCAAACAGATCGAAGGTTGTATTAATTCTTAAAAGATTATTTAATGATCTTATAAGAACCGATTATGAATACCGGTCATAGAGTCTTTGAATTATAAGTAAATGAATATGGAAAACTCTATCTGTATATATGTATATGCACATATATATATAAAGTAATTATTATTAACATAATTATTAACAATAATACTTATTTAATATAAATATAAATATACAAAATAACATAATAAAATTATATGTTACAGTTTATTTTAAGAGAAACTCACATTTTAATAGAAATTTTATGTATAAGTATTTGTTAAGAAGATGTTACTTAAATTCGACTCTTTCAAGATTTCTTAACACTTAATTATGCATCTGATTATTGTATGAATGATTAATTAATAGATTGAAAAGGGAAAAATGAAATGTGATTTCTTATTTGCAGTGCTAAATATTATCCTATGATATAATATTCAAATGTTTGATAATAATATATCGAAATTTTTAGAGCAAATCAAAATTTTTTAAAAAGTTTTCACGTATCTCCATATCTATACATATTCATCGTTTGTCCCATGATTTTTGTATAGTTGCCATTAAACCAGAACAATAAGTATGTACATCAAAAAATTCTGATGAAAAATGGAAAAGTCATAAAATGTGAAAGATTACAATCTTAATATTTTAGTAGAATTATCTATAATATAAAACACTAGGAATCTACAATGTTTTATATTGCAAAAATGTTTTTATTTTATATAATAACTTTTAAATAAAAACTTTTATTTTAGCTAGCATTTTATTATAAAATGATGTTATTATTTTACGTCTATTCTCTTCTAAATCAACATCTGTAATAATAATTAATAATAATTCTATAAACAATTTAAATATTTGTTAGAAAGATACTATTATATATATAATATCTAGAAAATATTTATTCCTTGAGACAATTCAATTACAGTGCTCTTCAAATGTAATAAACTATACTTAGAACGTTTATAAAAATGTTCTAAAAACGACATCAAAAAGTCTAATATATATTAGGTGTTGGAATTAATTCGTAGCGTTTTACAAGTGATGGGAAGTACTTTCATTAATGTATTTTTTAATGCTCATGTGAAATAAATAACGTAAATTATTTTTCTATTTTTAAATTATTTTTATATTTTTGGCAAAAGATTTATTATCAGAAGATTATGTCAATAGCTTTTCCAAACTAATAAAATACTAAAAATTATAAAATTATTGAAAAATATCAAAAATAATTACAAAATAGATTAGTAATATAATTAAAAATAAATTAGTAGTATTAAATAGATTAGTTATTTACAATCTGTATTTAAATAGATGAACATAGTATTATTATAAATTTAATTAGATAAATTTAAATTTTTGCAGATTTACTTTTTTGTGAACGTATCACTAATCAATTCTCAATTAAATCTTCTTCTCTGAAGAAAAACTTGTTATTAATATCAATTTTGTAAGATATTCTTTTCATGTATATCAATTCTTTAATTTCAGACAAAATGAGTGGATAATGATTTAACGTAGTTTCTGAGAATCTTTTCACCTGAAACAGATTAGTTCGAGATATTGAATAAATAATTAGTTTATTATTATGCAATAATTCGATATATTATTTTTTTAAATTTGGATATTGTAAGAGGGCTAAAGCGATTTTTATAGTCAATAGATCACTAACCATAAATTTATAATTATGAAATTTACCTTGTCAATTTGTTCGTAAATATAAACATTGTCGAGAATAAGTTTTATCATTGCATGTATAGTAAATGATCTATAAAAACAAAATAACATAATTAATAAATACTTATGATTAAGAAAACAGTATAGCACGTTTACGAAGAGGAATACTATTACCTAGGAAGTATAATCATAAAATTTTTTAATATGTAATCAAGAATTATATCGTTGCGTGCATGCTTTTCAAGAATACACTTGAAGATAAAAGAATGCGTATTATTATGAAATAATGAAGTATTCAATGCTAATACATTTAAATAGTAGATGATGATATCAGGATCTTCAGCGCAACTCAAACTTTTCAATAATTTCATTCGTTCCCATTTTTTTCCTTTTTTTAAATATAATTCGAACATTTTATCCCAAGTAGTCCTATTGGCTGCCATCATACCGGCACAGTACATAAATTTTTCCATTTGTGGAATTCTAAAATATATATTTATTAAAAAAGAATACATATTTCATACAATAACCGACTTTCTATTTTATCAAATTTTATATTTTTACGTTCCATAATCTTGTTATATGTTATTAAACGGTATAACTTGGTAAAATTAAATTTTTATTTTGCTCTACTGTAGTGTAAAAGTTATCACATAATAATATTACAGTAAAGAAATAAAATGAAGAAAGATATGTTGATAGTGCAGCTTGTCATTTTATTGTATTTATATTTTTGCTTGTACGCAACACTACATTTATTCATTATGTCATTATTAAATAAGAAGAGATTGACTTATATATTATAGAAAGTGTAAGATGAATATTTGATCTCGACAATTTGAAGAAATGGAGAGTTGTCTGTAATGTATCCATATGCACGTGTACGCATGCACACACAAATACAATTTACGAAATAATTATAAGTATAAGATTATTTATTACTTGTAAGTTTTGGGATCCGCGAGATGTTTGCTTAATTTAAGCGCGGTCACTTCCTTACATTTCTTGTTACCAAGAATACATGCACATTTTAAAGCATTTATCCTTGTCAATTTTGTGATATCATCATCATCAGGATTTTCTACGTATTTTACGTACTGAAGAAGCTCATTAAGGAGATGCTCGAAGTATAGCTAGAAATTAGGATAATTATTGCGAAAAGGTTAAACCTGGCTGATGACTTTGACATATGTTGTCAAGGTCATGATGTTGATCTAAATGGTGAATCTCAATGGAACTTTGCATAATCATTTTTAGTACTTAAAATATTTATATAAAAAAATTTAGATTTTTATTATTTAAAAAATTTTTGTTTATAACAATAAAATTAATATCAAATAAAATAAATAATCTATAAAGATGTCTTGCTTAATAAAAATAGAATGTTATGAACACAACTTTTCATGTATGTAGTTTTATTAATTATGTATTCAATACTTTATATTCTCCTTTTTTATTATGTATTTATATTTTTCTTAATATAGCCATTTTCTTAATATAAATCATTGCTATATGAAAATGTCAAATATAAAAAGAATTTAATTATATATTACATGAAAATATGTAATATAATTTTTATAAGTGTTAACTTTTTAAAAAAGTGCAAATTTAAGAAGCAGCCCATTTATAGCCGAAAGAAAATTAAGATTATCCGTATTACTTTATATAACTTTAATTATAAAATCGTACCTTGATATGTATCATTTCCGGCAGTAAAAGAGTCGGCATATGTTCTATAATTTCAAATAATGATTGCCATGCCACATAATCTCTGTCTTTCGAAAGGTATCTTATGAGTTGAAGGAATGAGTAGCTATTCATTCGATTATCAAGCATCGATATAAACCAATCAATGATGATTTGAGCACGATTAAAAACATGTATCTTTGTATAATTATTACTATTTAAGTAATGTGCAATTTTTTGCCAATTTTTGGTATCGTAACTAACGCGATAGTATCCTGTTGCATTATTGTATGTGTTATTAAATCTTTTTAATGAATCTGAATTTATCAAGATATTTTCATATATCCACATTTAACCTTTTCTTAATATAACACGCAAATGTAACATATTGTATACAAATATCACAATGAAATATAGAAATTACGTATTATAAATTATTTTACATTAATTATTATTTGACAAAATTTTGGAAAATTAAATATATAAATCTCTTTTAAGATTTTATAAGTACAAAATACATATAAATATGTTAAATAAATATATATAAATATGATGTAAAATTTTCATAATTATAGAACAAAATAAAATAAGTAAAAAAATTTAATGTTTTTATTCGTTCTTACCAGTGAGTTGCAAATTAACAATAATCCAATCATCTGAGTTAATTGTGAAGCTTATATTATGATCTGGTCGTAACCAATAATGAGGTACAGTATTGGAAAAATTCGGATTGGACTGCGTAGCAAAAGTTATAGGAATCCACCATTTAATTTTATTCGTAGTTTTCTTATATTGCCGAGCATATGTTTGTGATATTATTACTTCACCAGTTTCGTAATTTCGCTCCACATGTACAAAAGGATAGCATTCTTGATTCATCCAAGTATCCATCACTTTTTTTATTCTGTAATCTTCGTGCGGCACATCAGACTCGTCTAGAGCACTTTGCATAGCGCTCCATAAATCATCCGGAGTAGCCGAGCTAAACTGACTATAAATTTAACAAACACATAAGGTAATGTATATTGACTATTAAAGGATTTAAGCGAGTATTTATTATAATTGAATTTATAAATACATATAAAAACTTATAACTATTTAAAATTCAATTATAATTAAATAAAAACATGAAAATCTATTCATAATATGTTTTTATCATTTTAGCAATTATTCTTATATAAGTTAATATTACTATATAATATTATGTTATAGAACTTTAGAAATAAAAATGCGAATTTTTCGATAAAAGCATTCTAAATGCGGACCAAAGTGTACAGCTTACAATTAATAAATAACAATATAATATAGCACTAAAATATTAGAACTATCATTATAATTATAATATTTAATATTATAATACATATATATATAATATATTATAATAATAATGCATTAGAAATGCATTAGAAAGACACACTTACTGCTTGGTCAAATATATAATGAGACCTTTTCGAAATACCTCATCGGTAATTGTATTTTGTAACATGCGTAATAAAACTGATGCTGCAATAATATACATTATAAAATATCAATTAATAATACATTTAAAGTACATACAAATTCAAGATATGTGTAAATATGCATTAAAGAAGAATTTGTTTGCCATTAGCTTTATCTTTTTTTCACTACTATAAACATTAAAAAATCTATATATAAACGACAATTTAATTTTATTTACATAATTTTACCTTTTTTATAAACAAAAGAATTTAATGAGTTATCTTCAAAAGTACTACCAAGTTTCGTTGTGACAAAATTTAATGAGCCTGTATCTTGAAGAAGACATTGTTGTATTTTCTGAATCATAAGTAGTTCCGTCGTCCGCCTATAATTTTCGAAAATCTGTAGAAGAAAGTATTTGAATGTGATTGAAGATCGAAATTTGCGAAAGAAGCTTGCATTTTATTAAAAATAAACTATAATTTGTTTTTTTTTTTAATAAAAACATAGCTATTTTACATTTTATTACATGCATTAGCATATCCAGGATTTTTTTCATAGAGGGGAAGGTTGGTTTATTTATCACTCATAAATACCATATATCTTACAATAACAAATTGCTTTATTTTAAAGCTTAGAATGTCTTTTCTTTAAGATTCTAATTAAAAAAAAATATTAAATAAAAAATATTAAAAAAAATATATTAAATGTAAATCATAACTTTTGTTTCTTAAAGGTTATGATTATGATTTATAACATTTATAAAATACGATAACCCAAACAAAATATCATAGTAGTTTTGTGAATGTAGTACTTATTAATGTATTAGAGCAGGTTTTGCTTTTTAGTTCAAAAATCTTGCTAAAATTTTGTTTATATATTAAATACTCTATCAAAATCTCTAACGAAAAATCTAGGAATTATGTATATAGTCGTAACGGGAGAAATAATATTTTATAAAATAATAACAAATTTACTCAGAGTAAAAAATGAAGTTATACTCTTTATGAAGAACGAAAAAAATAAATAAAACCTTTCGGAAGAAGAGTTTGAATTAATAGAATTTCCCACATATCCCCTACGCCCATGATTACGCCTAAATTACGATATTAATTTTATAACGAACATTTTTAAAAAAGAGCATACTTACAGTTTAATACTTATACAGTTTAATTATCTATAGAAGTTTATTACAGAGTATTTAAAATAAAAATGTAAATAAGATATGAAGATTCAAAATATTGAATTTTATTATTTTATTAAATTCTGTGGTGAATGCAGAGAATAAAATATTTTCAAATTCTGTTCTGAAATGATTACAATATTCTTACAATTTCTAAATATAAAGATAATGTTGAAATATAAAAAAATTAAAATAATAAATCTTCAATTCAACAAACACCAAAAGCAAATATTTTTAATTTTCATTTAAAGATTATGCGTTTCGCGGGTTTTCTTCGTGTCCAGATCCATTCTTGGAATGCCAACGTTTCGTGAACCTTGCAATTCACTTCATCATGGCAAGGAGCAGCCTGATATCGGTATCAGGTTGCTCCTCGCCCTGCGCATAATCTTTATATAGAAAGCACCCATGGAAGCCTCAAGAATATTATTTTTAATTTTCATAATTCTATTAAAATATTTTTATAATTCATTTCAAAACGCGTTACACACATTTCATAATTTTATATTAGAAAGCACACGTTAGTTCCATCTTATATTTTACGAAAGTATTTAATTGTATTTAATTGATATTATTCTAACTTTAGATTAAAATAATTAAGTATTTCTAAATCCTTTTTTTCAATAAGCAATCTTACATTATATATAATGAAATTCAATAACCTTGTTAATTATGTATGTTTGGAAAAACGAAGCAAGTCCTTTACTTAACCATAGATAGGACCACCAAGATGGAGTGACTAAGTTGCCAAACCATTGATGTGCAAGTTTGTGTGCTACTGTCAACGCTACTTTTGTTTTCTGATATGTTGGATCGTTATTGTCATCATAGACAATTTTTGATTCACTAAAAACATAATATTACGTGATATAATTATGTAAAATATTTCTGAATATGCAGTCGAATGTTTTTCTGAGTAATTACAGCGTAATTCGTAATACTTTTAAATATATTTCAGATATTTGATTTTGTGTGTGTGTGTGTGTGTGTGTGTGTGTGTGTGTGTGTGTGTGTGTGTGTGTGTGTGTGTGTGGGGCGCGTGCGTGCGCGCGCGCGTGCATATAGTGCATATGTATATAAATATATATAGAGTTGGTCAATAGAGTTGGGAAGTAAATAACGCTAGTAGTTTAACTGTTACTTTTTGTAAAAACGATTTGGTAGTATGTTGCAATTTTATGATAAAGATAACTGAAAGCTATAAATTGGGAAAGTCATTTTTGAAAAATAGCTTATCATTATTAGATGTTATTTGTTGAAAAAAAGCAACTCATTACTTGTATAATGTCAATGCGTTACTTTTACATACTTTAGTTCGTTACAAATAATGAGTTACTTTCTTATTATAAATAACTTTTTTCAATAAATAACGCGTAATGATAACAAGCTATTTTTTTCATAAGTGTCTTTCTTATCTTTGACTTTCAGTTATCATCATTAAAAATTACAACGTTCAAAATGTTACAATTATCAAAACATTAAAATAAAAAATAAATAACAACACAGAAGTAAAAGCGTTATTCACTCCTGTATGTATGATATATAAATTTACGGGGTCTTCAAAAAATATGGAAACGCTAAAATATCTCAAAAAATCTACGTAAATGATGATAAAAGATTGACATTGGGTAGAGTCTGCACGGTCATATGAAGGTCAAGTTGAATTTTTTAAACAGGATCCCCCTCTTTTGTATATATAGTAATATCTTACAACTTATTTCAAGAGCTTGTCAAAACACTATAATAAAATATTTTTTCATTAAGTACTTTTCAAATTATAAGGCTTGAAAGTTACAATATCTCCGGCATTAGCATTACGCAAGGTGACCGACGGCTAAAATCTCTTGAATATTATTCAGAATCATGTCCTGGATAACATTTATTAAGATCAAGGCCATCGAAGATTATTCCTTTTAATTTTCATTTTTGCACTAAAAATTCATTTTTGCGTAAAAGTGAAAATAAGAGGTATAACCTCCATTGGCCTTGATTTTGACAAATGTTATTCAGAACATGATCCTGAACGACATCCACGGGGAGATTTTAGCAGTCGAATGGATACCTTGTGTAATGCTAATGCCGGCGTAACTGTAACTTTCAAGCCTCATAACTTGAAAAGTACTTCATGAAAAATTATTTTATTATAGTGTTTTGGAAAGCTCTCGAGGTATGCTATAAAAATATGCAATAAAAAATAGGGGATTCTATTTAAAAAATTGACCTTGCAAATTCCATTCAAGGTCAATCTCTTATCATCAGTTAGGTAGATTTTTTGTAGTCCTACAACTTCGCTTTTATATATTAGGTGTTGGAATTAATTCGTAGCGTTTTACAAGTGATGGGAAGTACTTTCATTAATGTATTTTTTAATGCTCATGTGAAATAAATAACATTCTTTCATTAAAAACGCTACGAATTAATTCCAACACCTAATATTTTTCGCTACAGTTGATCATTTTCGAAATATTTTAGCGTTTCCAGACTTTTTGAAGTCTGTATGTTTGTACAAATCCAAACTATATATACTGATTATAAACCATATATAAATATAAGTTTTGGCCAATCGCTTTTGTATATACATATAGAGCGGACTAAACTGAGTCGAAAAGTCCTGTACCATTTTACAATTTTCATAATAGTTAACAAGATATTAATTACTAAAAATTGCCAAATATTGATCTTGAATAATTTTTTATTCAAATACTATCAATTTTACAGAAAAACTGCAAGAGACAAACATTATTTATTTTCTTCTCATAGAACTTTATAAATTTTTTTAGAATTTTTTATCAACTTTTTAATACTATATTTTTTTATTTCTACCAACCTGAAAATATGATAATAAAAAATTCTTAAAAAATTCTTAACAAATTCTCAGAACTTTATGAGAAGAAAATAAATGATTTTTGCCTCTTGCAGTTTTCCTACAAAGTTGATAGTATTAGAGTAAAAAATTATTCAAAACCAATATTTGGCAATTTTTAGAAATTAATATTTTGTTAACTATTGCGAAAATTGTAAAATGGTAGAGAACTTTTTGACTCAATTTAGTCCGCTCTATCTACACAAAAGCGATTGGCCAAAACTTACAGGACATCCTGTATATATTACATTTGGATAATTCAAATATTCAGGCACGTATTTTTTTATCTGTGAGTTGCACATCATGCACGTATCTTACTAAATTTTGAATGCTAGAATTAACATTGAGTAGCTTTATAATAATTTTATAAATTTTGTATGAACTGCGTATATATTACTCATAAATGATGAGGCCCCAATTTTCCATGCTGCCAACTACAAACTTTGGTATCAAGACGTAATCCATTTTGGGTACCTTCTGGGAACTATTGGTATATTGAATCAAGAACTTTACAACCTTTTCAGCAATATTGTGTGCCAATGTTACTTTCGATGTCAAAGATTTACACCACATATTGATGGTATTGTTCGCGTTGGGAACTTTGATGAAATCGAACATCACAATCGCCACGATATAAGTGGACATTACAGGTGTGGTCTCGAAATGTGTATGTATCATGTCTTTTTGTTCCCAGAATTGTTTTCGTATTGGCATATTTGATAGTACACTGTGCTTCTGATGATGCAGTACGGAGATGTTGAAGGTGGCTTTTAATGCTGGCTCGTCCCAACATGGAAACATTCGTTTGGCGCCATTCGGCTCGAAATGTGTTACAGCTAACCACTTACTGTTTAATAAAATGTTTTAAATAATAGCAAATTTTTTATATCTTCTAATATAAAAATTTAATAAAAACTAATTACTGTTTATTATCATTTGTATTATTAGATGTAAACAAATTTTAATGATATATCAAAAATTGCGATACTGTGCTGCAAAAAATTTTATGTATGTGGACATATTTTATATACATATTAGGTGTTGGAATTAATTCGTAGCGTTTTACAAGTGATGGGAAGTACTTTCATTAATGTATTTTTTAATGCTCATGTGAAATAAATAACATTCTTTCATTAAAAAACGCTACGAATTAATTCCAACACCTAATATGTATATAAAATATAGTAATATGAAATAATTACATATGAAACATTTTTTCTTGGATGCATATCTGTTTCATTTGAAATTGAAGTTACCGTTCAAAGTATTAAAACATGCATATATTTTAATGTATATACATATATGTATATTATAATTATTTTTCATCAAAAAAACTTTTAAGTATAGAAACAATGATAGAAGCAAAAGAAGATAATAACAAAGACTGCGTCTATGGCTCCGTTCAGCAGAGAAAATTAATCAGTTAGCGCTCAATGATTCTTTAATATGATTGGTTCTTACCTTTAATTCTTCGCAAAATCTAAATGTAGGAATCTATCGTATTAAAGAATCACTAAGCGCTAACTGAGTTATTAGTTTTCTTGCAGAATGCAATCATTATATTGGAAATACATTTTTATGTTTTAATATTTACTTACGTAATATTTCCTTCATAGGTTGTGTACGAAAATTTCATAAAACCCTGTTTTTGAGAAGGCTTTGATAAATTACCGGCAAATTTCATATTCAGGATGTACAGACCGGGCGATAATATATCATTAAAATTCAGTGTTAAAATGTTGGTTGTTACATTGTAAATATGTTTCATCGGTTTATAAATCGTACTGTTGTCATTGATCAATGTTGTCGCCGTTTCATTTATTTTTAATTCTCTTGAATGTAAGCTTATTTTTGATGATGCATAACGAATTTCGATATTGACATTGGATTTACCGTAAAAAGTAAAATTGCCTTCTTTGAGATACGGTATCAGACTGATGTTATAGTGGACTGGTATCGTATTATTCGGTAATCGTTTAATAATTTCTCTATTTTGACCGATGCAAGGAATCGTTCTTATGGCCAATATTAGGCCAATATTTAATAACAATTTTAGAAATCCCATATCGAATCCCTCTTTTTACGTACCTGCGATTGTTCATTAAAAAAAAAAAAACAATGTTATTGTGATTTAACATAAATTTTTACATAAAAATGAAAAGAATTGAAAAAAATAAATTTTGCACTTTTTTATTACAAGAATCATATGTATTTAATATCTGTTGAGTATATTTTGATGTATTCGTAATTAATTTATCTTATTTTTTTATAGGATTTTTTCTTATAAAAACCAAATAAAAAATTAATTTACTTTATTTAAAAGATAATTTCAGACATTTAAGTAGCACTATTTACATTTGTGCGTAAAGAATATTTGCTATCAAACTTAACATAAACATATTATTGTTGTTGTATTTAATATTTGAATTGTTTAACCATTGGTTAGAGCAATTATTAAAAAGGGAAGTTTTGCTCTCGAGAATTATAAGATTGAATCTTAGAATTATATTTGTTATTTCTCAATTTCCAAATCAATTCAAAGGATAAATAATAAACTAATTTTTAATTTTTTCATTATACACAAATAAACAAAATAAACAAATTATTAATGATAAATATAATTGCCCACAATAAAAAATAGTTTAAAACTTTTATTAATCTGTTATTTTTACATATGTTATAAGTATTTATCTACATACTTTTATCATTTTTGTAAAGTATTCATCAAATATGTGTGTGTGTGCGTGCGTATATGCGTGTGTGTGCGTGTATGATATACAGGGTAATCCACTTCGATCATCTGAAATATCTCGCTTATTTTTGATAATATAAGAAAAATTTTAACCAAAAGTAGAAAAGTTTTGTGGAGGACGTATTTTGATCATGTTTGTTTTCTAGATGGAGGCGCCAAAAAGATATGAAGATTACACGTTTTTTAAATCAAATTGTATGATTTTTTTTACACAATGTAATTCCTCTAATTATTCTGCATATAAAAGTAAGTATTAAGATAGTGATATTAAAAAATCAATAGTTGACGAGATATTTTACAATTTATTCTGGCACATATTGACATAAAATTAAATAATTCATAAACTATTAACTTTTTAATAATTATTTATTAATACTTTTATGAACAAAATAATGAGATAAATCAGTTGGTGTAAAGAAAACATATTTAGTTGCTTTAAAATATGTATGCAAAATAGATAATTTTTTAAATAAGCAATTATGTGTTCTTTCCACCAACTAATTCATCTTATTATTCTGTTCATGAAAGTGTTAAGGTATAATTATCATTAGGAAAAGTATATATTAAGAAAAGTTAATAGTTTACAAGTTATTTAACATTTTATGTCAATATGTGTCAGAATAAAATGTAAAAAATGTAAAAAAATATCTCGCCAACTATTGATTTTTTTTATATTACTATCTTAATATTTTTATATACAGAAAAATCATATTGTGTAAAAAAATCATACAATTCCATTTAAAAAAGTGGAGGTAACCTTCATATTTTTTTAACGTCTCCTTAAAAAAAAACATGACTAAAATATGTTTCCCTCGAAACACTTGCATTTTAATTTTTTTATATCATCAAAAATAAGCCAGATATTTCATATGATCGATTTAAGTAGACCTCCTTGTACATAAAAATTCTTATAAAAAATAAGTTCCCGAAGAAATGAAATTAAACTTAGTCATATTCTATTTTATGAAATGATTGGAATTACATTTCACATATTTTTTATAACTTTAATGATAGACAGACATTAATTAAATTATTATATTTTTACGACTTACTTTGTATGTTATATCTTTGTACAGATAAAAATATAGTTGATCGCATTAATTGTAATTGATTAATTACAATTGATCGATCTTTTAATATCACAAATACTTCAGCATAGCTGCACGATTGTCGTCTTGCCACTTCGAAAGATTCCCAAATAATGACTACAATGTCTCTGACGCTATTGTAAACGTCGTGCGTGTCAATATAAAGACAACCTTTACCAAATTTTGAACTGTGTATTTTTGTTCTCAATAAAGTATGTTGAAACTTATAAGGCGGTATTAATAAATTATAATCAAATATTTAGGACTATCTCTACAGTTTTAAGATATCATGAATAAATCAGAAGGGTACATTAGCAGCTTAAAAAATTATTTAAGACGATCTTATCTCTTTCTCTCTCTCTCTCTCTCTCTCTCTCTCTCTCTCTCTCTCTATATTTATTTAAAGTGAAAAATGTGCAAATGTAAACAAAAAGAAAATGAAAGTTATGAATAATATAAAATTATCTACAGAAATGCTTTTATTGTATATAACAATAACTATTATTTAAATGAAAATACTTTTATTTTTTAGCTGATTTTTTTAATACACACATTATTTCATGTCTTCTATTCCAAGTCAAACATCTATAAACATAGTAATAATAATAATAATAATAATGCTATTAACTGTTTAGGAATTGTTATTAAATAACGACACTATTATGTACATATATATATATATATATATATATATTAGGTGTTGGAGATAATTTAATTACAATTGCTCTCTATTAAATGCAATTAATAAAATTTTAGCGTAAAAAAATATTTTACACATACACATGCAAATATTTAATATATTAGGGGGACCGGAAAGTAATGTCGTTTTTTTTAAACTGCCTTTGGCACGATTCTGAAGTACACAATGAGCTGATAAATGACAATCGAATATCGACATGCGACAAACGACATTACTTTCCGGTTCCCCTAATATTATGTAATAAAAAAGTTTAATATATTATGTAATATTATATGAATTATTTGTCAATAGACTATTATAGATGATTAATGTGTCAAAAGATTTTAATAGTTTCCCCAAATATACTATAAAAATATTGAAAAATATTGAAAAGTTTTAGAAAATTAAATTAAAATAATTAAAAAAATATTTACAAGACGAATAGTAATAGATAAAAATAATATTATTACAAAATTCATATAGGGGTATGCATTATATTTCTTTTTGATTAATCAGATCAATGATCACTTCACGTGAAGTCTTCTCTTCAGTAGAAAAACCATTTCTTAATGTAGTGTACGATATGTTCAAGATATTCCTTACGCTTTTTTATCAATATTTGAATTGTATACAAAGTGTCTGGATCTTGATAAAAATTAGTTTTTGAGAATGTTTGTATCTGGAACAGATTAGTTTGAGATATTGAATAAAGAAATTCGATATAATATATAATTTTTAATTTAATATAATTTTTAATTTAATGTAATGTTAAGATGAATATACATATATAATGTGTTAGAATAAGAATAGAGATTCAAAAGAATCAGTTACAATACCTGCTTTTCATTTACATCGATTCTCAAATAATATATTTAATTTCTTAGAAAATAGGTATTATTTTTTATGCGTATATGTATATTATATATACATATATGCTGTAAAAAAAATTTCTTTTATTTGAGGGAGCCCTCCTCAAGAAAATCGAATGGTTTTTTTTTTTTAGGTTTTTGTGGGTTAGATCATCGATTTAATATTGTATTAATTTGTGAATTAAACAAGTTCAGTTCATATTATTTTAAAGCACGTACCTATTTTATACTATGTTTTTATAATATAATTTTACTTAAAAGTACAAAAATACAGTCTAAATATGCAAACATATAAAGTAATTATTAATATAAATATTAATTTATACAAAATTAATATTATTAAGTTACATAAAGAATTAATTCATAATTCCGTCTGAGGAATAGTTTTTTATTTAAATCGCAACACAAAAAATTCCAGTAATATTGCAACAATAATAATTTGCAATATTCTCGCAATATTGCAGTAACATTGCAATACTACAGCAATGCTGCATATTCTGTATGAGTTATAAAACGCTATGGAAAGGTCAATAATTAATATATGAATCGTAAAATTTACCTTATCAATTTGTTTATTAGAACAAACATTCTGAAGAATAAGTTCTATCGCTGCAGTTGTAGTAAATGATCTATATAAAGGCAAAATAATGTATAGAATTAAAAAATTTTTATAATTATATAAAAAAATAATATAGTATACATTTACAAAGAGAAATATTAATACCTAGGTTTTATAATTTCCAAATTTTTTAATACGTAGTCACGGATTTTGTCATTGCACGCATACTTCTCAAGAACATTCTTAAAAACAAAAGAATGCTCATCATCGTGAAATAATGAAGTATTCAATGATATAATATTTAAGTAATTGATAATGATATCAGGATCTTCAGCACAACTCAAACTTTCTAATATTTGTTTTTCAACTTTTTCGTCTTTTAGATATAATTCTAACATTTTATCCCAAGTAGTCTTATTGACTGCCATCATACCAGTACAGTACATAAATTTCTCCTCATATGAAATTCTAAAATATATATGCATAATCAAGAACTGATACATACATTTCATACGTATAATGATAATCTATTTTACTAATTTTAAATTTTGTATTTTTATGTATACGTATTATTAAGCAATCTTATTTTGTAAAATGGAATTCCTGTTCTGCGTTATTCTTCCAATCTTATAAACAACGGTATATTTATTACATCGTTATATTATTAGAATAAGAATGGGGATTCAAAAGAATCAGTTACAATAACTGCTTTTCATTTACATCGATTCTCAAATCATTCTCACTTATGACGTCATAACTCAATTGAATGCGCATTCCTTTTGCATTCTGATAAATGAGATTCAAGAGTTTTTACCTATAATCTGCACACAAAATCGAGACTGCGTGTTTTAGTGAGACTCCTAATAGTACAAAAGTTGTAACAATATTGCTACAATATTGTAGCAACATTACACGTTGCAGCAATGTTGCAGTAATATTGTTGCAAGTTTTGTGCTGTTGGAGTCATGTAAACTCACTTTACAAATGGTTTTAAACCTGTGTTGGCATATATAAGTTTTATCAAAGTATAAAGCAAGTAATGACGTCATTAATCTGAGTACGAAATACTTAGCTCACTTCAGACTCAGTTTCACTTGTGTGTAAATAGAAAGCAACTAATATATCCATATACATGCGCATACGCGCGCGCGCGCGCGCGCGCACACACACACACACACACACACACACACACACACACAAAGAAATATAATTTACGAGACAATCGCGAGTATAAGAAATTTACTTGTGAGTTTTAGGATCCATAAGATGTTCACTTAATTTAAGTGCAGTCATTTTCTTGCATTTCTCATGACCAAGAGTACATGCCCATTTTAAGGCGTCTAGCCTTGTCAGTTTTGTGATATCATCATCATTAGGATTGTCTATGTATCCTACATAGTCAAGAAGTCTCTCGAGGAGTTGCATTAAACGTATCTAATAGAAATTGTAAATTAATGTATATATTTTATATTGGTTCTTTGTGATACTTGTGGAAATACATAATCTACATATAAAAATATACATATATGGTTTTGTTAATGCTTTATCAATAAATTCAATAATTGATGTATATATATATATATATATACGATATAATATTTAAAAAAAATATATATATACAGGATATTTTATTTAAATTGCCGCACTAAAATATCTCGAGAAGAAGACGTGGGATTAAAAAAAAATTTCAGATGAAAGTTTCAATAAAATAAAAAATATTTTATTATAGTATTTTGAAAAGCTTTCGAGATAAGTTACGAGAATATGCAAAAATGAAAAATGGGGAATTCTTTTTAAAAAATTCAAAGTAACCTTGCTCTGATCTTGACAACATTACTTAAGATCATACCTGGTACGATACCTGGACGATCTTATAAAGATCTCTCTCTCCTAAAGTCACATAACTTTTTGTCTGAAACATTTTTTTCAAATTGAACTGGCCTGATTGTATCCTTTATTTTATAATTGCATATAGAATACTTTATATAATTGTTGTTCTTTAATATATATTTATATTTTCTTTAAAGCTATGAACCTTCGTTAATGCTATTACACTATAATATGAAAATGTCAAGTACAAAAAAAATCGTAATTTTAATTATATTACATGCAAATAACAATATTTTTATATGTGTATATTTTTAAAAAAATTCGCAAATTTTATTTGAGAATATAATCAATTTGTGATAAATTACGCATATCCGCATTACAACTTTATATAACTTGAACTGTAAAATCCTACCTTAACATGATAGAATTCTGGCAGTAAAAGAATCGTTGGTATACTTTCTATTATTTGAAATAATGGTTGCCATGCTGCATATTCTCTCTCTTGAAAGAAATAACTTATTAGATGAATGAATAAATATCCATTTATTCGATCAGCAAATACTATAGCAAGCAAATCAATGATGATTTGAGCACGATTAACAACATGTATATTTTTATATTCTTTACTATTTAAATAATGTGCAAGTTTTTGATAATTCTTGATATCGTAAGTAACACGATAATATCCTGTTGAATTTTTATTACATACATTATTAAATCCTTTTAATTAAATTTATCAAAATATATTTTTACATATTAAAAATTATTTTGCATTAATGTTTGATGAAATTTGGAAAATTTAATCAAATTTCCTTCCAACTTAAACTTTTTTATAAATAAAAAGGTACATAAATGCATTGAATGATGTAAAACTTTTGTAATGATAGACAAATAAAATGAATAAACAAAGCAATAAACTGATTCATACTTACCAGTTTGTTGTAAATTGATAATAATCCAATCATCTGGGCTAATTATGAAACTTATATTATGTTGATCTGGTCGTAACCAATAACGAGGTACAGTATTGGAGAAATCCGGATTAGATTGTGTAGCGAAAGTTATAGGAATCCACCATTTAGTAGTTTGATTAGTCTCACTATATTGTCGGACACATGTTTGTGATATTGTCACTTCGCCAGTTTCGTAATTTCTTACCACGTCTACAAAAGGATAACGCTTTTGATTCATCCACGTATCCATCACTTCTTTTATTCTATAATCTTTGTGTGGGACATTAGATTCATCTAGAGCACTTTGCATGGCGCTCCACAAATCATCTGGACTGGCCGAGCTAAATTGACTAAATTTGAAAAATGACAATTGTCAGTTGATGTAATTATATATCGAAAAATATACGTACTATTAAAGAATCTATGCGAATATTAATGTACAATTGAATATATATACATATATGTAAAAAAATTTCAAATATAACTTAAAACTATAACTTAAATTAAATTATAACTAAATAAGAAGTAAGAAACGAATAACCTATAATTTAATAATATAATATAAACGAGATATTGAGCGTTTAATTTCTGTCATATTATATTTTTCAATATGAATGCAAATACTTATTACATCCATGTACTTAATATTGTGATGTATGATAATTTCAGACTACATTATACACTTACTGCGTGGTCAAATACGTAATGAGACCTTTTCTAAATACCTCATCAGTAATTGTATTATGTAACATGCGCAATAAAACTGGCGCTACAATAATAAACATAAAAAATATCAATTAATAATAATTAATACATTCAAAGTACATATAAAATTAATCTGTTATATGTAAATGTTGCACTAAAGAAGAATTTGCTATTAGCTTTTTGTTTTAGTCTATGCATCTTTTATTTTGTGCTATGCATTAAAGAATTCATGAATAATAATTTTATTTTATTTACTTTTACCTTTTTTATAAACTTCATCAGAAAACAGCGACTTCTTTTCGAAAGTATTGCCAAGTTTCAATGTGACAGAATTCATTGAGCCTATATCTTTCAGAAAACATTGCTGTAGTGTCCGAATTAGAAGAAAATTCATTAACCGCCAATCTTGGAAAATCTGAAGTAAAAAATGTTTCGCTGTGACTAAATATTAAAAATTCAAAGAAAAACTCGTATTAGAAATACAAAATCAGTTTGTTTACCATTTCCACAAAAATGCTATTCTACATTTCATTACACCGAATTGTATAAACACTTTCAGATCGAATCTTTTTCAAAAAGAGCATACCTAGTTTAATTATTTTTAAGTTTTTTGGAGATTACTTAATATGAAAACAAAATTAAGATATGAAAATCCAAAATGTTAAATTTTATTAGTTTACTAAATGCCAAATGTAACGGGTGCAGTAAAACAAATATTTTCGAATTCTAATGAAAATATTAATGTTCTTACGATTTTTGATAAAAAAAATTAAAATAGTAAATCTTCAATAGATAAATATATAGATAAAAACGAATAATCTTTAATTTTCAATAAGATAATTTTTATATTAAAATTTTATATTAAAATTTATATTATTTTTATATAATTATTTTAAAAAACGCACATTTTTTTATAATTCTAAATTAAAGTATGTCCTCTTTTTTGTTCAGTTCCTGTTGGAAATGTAGTATTTAATTGCATTTAATTGGCATTATTTTAAGAAGTACTTCAACACTTTTTTTATAATAACAATCTAAGATTAATAATAATTGAATAACCTTGTTTATTATGTACGTTTCGAAGAACGCAGCAAATCCCTCATTTAACCACAGATAGGACCACCAAAATGGAGTAACCAAATTGCCAAACCATTGATGTGTAAGTTCGTGTGCTACTGTCATTGCTATTTCTGTTTTCCGATATATTGGATCGCTGCTATCATCGTAGATAATTTTTGATTCACTAAAAAGACACAACATTACATGATATAATTATGTAAAATATTTCTAAATATGCAGTCGAATGTTTTTTGAGTAATTATAATATATTATTCATAATGTTCATATCCGAATAACTAAAGTTTGATTGTTTTCTTTTCATAAACATAATGTAAAATATTTATGCGACTGAAAAAAAGGGGGAAATGTAATGTATTAAATACGCTAACTATTTATAACAATCTAAGTATGATAACATATATTTTTGGATATTTATGAGGTAAGCATATGTTTTAAATTTCTAAATTTTGAATGCTGAACGTAAGGTTGACTAATGCTATAATAGCTTAATTAATTTTTTGAATTATAAATATTACTGATAAATGATGAGTCCCCAATTTTCCATGCCACTAACTGTAAAATTCGATATCAAGACGTGATCCATTTTCGGTACCTTCTGAGAACTATTGGTATATTGAATTAAGAACTCTACGACCTTTTCAGCAATATTATGTACAAATTTTACTTTTGACGTCAAAGACGACTTGCACCATATATTGATCGTCTCGTTCGCATTGGGAACGCGGACAAAATCGGACATTACAATCGCTACGGTATAAGTAGACATTATAGGAGTGATGTCAAAGTGTGTCTGCATCATGCCATCTTGTTCTAAAAATTGCTCTCGTATTGGCATATTCGACAATACACCATACTTTTGATGATGCTTTACAGAAATGTTGAAGGTGGCTTTTAACGCTGGCTCGTCCCAACATGGAAATGTTCGTCTGGCGCCATCCGGCTCGAAATGCGTTGCAGCTAACCATTTACTGTTTGATAAATATACTACTATTAAATGATAGCAAATTTTTTACTTATGTCGACTAACATAAGAATTTAATAAACTTAACTGTTTATTGTTATCTATCTTTAGTATAAATTTTGTTGAACGTAAAAATCGAAATGCCGCATAATTATGTCGTTTTATTTAAAATTGAAGTTGCCCTTTTAAATATTATAATATGTATGAATTTTATATACATATGTGTATATTGTATATGTACATATATATAATAATTATATATAGGAAAAATATTCTAAATCGGACCGTGTTCCAAATAGGACCTTTTTAATTTAAACGAATACGGTTAAGTAGATTTTCGTGCTATTTATAATGTAAAATCCTTATAAGACACCGAACATGTGACAGCAGTTTGACAGTTCTCTATCATAACATTCATAGAATAGACGCAAATATTTTTAGCTATCATGCAAAAATTTTTTTAAAAAAGAAAATCTTTGTAAATCATTATTTAAAAGACGTTAAAAATTTGAAAGATAATAGATTTAAGATAATTAAAGAATGTAGAATTTAAATATATCAAGCGTTTTGTCATCATTTTTGCGGTTTATTGTAAAATTCGTTCTAAAAGTTTCCGTGTCCAAATCGGACTTCTCTTTGGATGTCCAAATCGGACCTACATAATAGATAGCAACAGGCATTTGTCCATTGGATCCTGATTTCCAAGAAATTAACTTTCTGCCCAACAGCAACTGATCGGCCGATCGAACAGCAAGATAAAATTTGGATGAAACACTGCAATATATTTATCTACTTCTACCAAAAGCGCCTCCACGTAAAAATATCGATCGGGGACGAAAACTGGGAAAAGCTATTTTAACTGATGATGTTGCGATTGAAACTATTGCTATAGAGGAAGCAATGAAACAAATGCATAACTTAAAAAAAAAACACAAACGAGACCAAGAAATACTAAAAAGCCAAATAAGTCAGTTAATTCATCGAAGAAAGAAGATTCGCCACAACCTAATTGTAGTATTGATGATCGACTGACCAAATCTGGTTTAGGAACATTAAGTCAATAAAATTTGAGTCATCAGACTCATATTAATTGAATTTTTTATTGATTTCAATTCTGATAATATAAACTGTCAGTAATTTTTTTCTGAATAAAATCTTTAACTATCAAATTGTTCGTTTTTGTTCAATATTAACAAAAATAAATTAAAATCTTATAAATTTCTACTTAAAAATCCATAAAAATAGGAGAGTCCGATTTGGACCAGGAGATAATGCGATTTGAAACTAATAGTTTCAAATCGGATCCGAAAAATAATTTTTACATTTTTATAATTCAACACAGATAGGAAATACATCAAAATGGTCTCAAGTAAAAATGGAAGGAATTAAATGATCTTTCCAACGGTATTTTTGGTTTTATGATCGGATTTTATTTACGCCTTGTAGAAAACAAAAACTACAAATAGGTCCAATTTAGATCACTCTCCCCTATACAATTATATTTTCTCTGAAGAGCTTCTGAAGTGTGGTAACAATAATAAAAAGAAATAAAGATAGCAACAAAAAACTTTTTACGTTGCAAATAACATATTTTAATATTTACTTACGTGTCGTTTCCTTTATCAATGTACGGAAATTTTATAAAACCTCTTTGTCGAGATACAGGTAATAGATTACCAGAAAATTTCATGTTTAAGATATAAAGGCCAGGTAATAATACATTGTTAAAATTCAATGTCAAAATGTTCGTCACATTATTATGTTTCATCGGTTTATAAACCGTATCTTTATCATTAATTAATGTTGTCGCTGTTTCATTTATTTCTAAATCTCTCGAATGTAAGCTTATTTTTGACGATTTATAACGAATCTTGATATTGATATTGGATTCACCATGAAAAATAAAGTTGCCTTCTTCGAGATACAGTGTCAGATTGATGTTATAGTGAATAGGTATCGTGTTGTTCGGTAAACGATTAATAATTTCTAAATTATTATCGATGCAAAAAACCGTTCTTGTCAATATTACGCCAATATTTAATAACAATTTTAAGAATCTCATGATATCGATTCTTTCTTTCCTTATAATCTACAATTTTTCGTTAAATGTGAAATAAAATATCATATAATATCATATAATAAAGTCTAAAATTATTGTAATTTAATATTAATTTCTATATAATATTAGAAAAAAATGAAAATAATAATTTTTACAACTTTTATTAATAGGATTATGTATAATATCTACTCTGGGAAAATTATGAATATTTTTTTACATTTAATATTGTATAATATTTTAGGTATAATATTTTAATGCACTCGTAATTAATCTTATTGTTCTTATTTCTATAAAATTGTCTCTTGAAAGAAATAAAATAAAAGAAATATATTTAATCTAAAAGATAATTTTGAACATTTAAATAATTGTTTTATATTTGACTTCACAAAATATTTCATCAAAAATAAACATAAACACATAATGTCAATATGGGAAAGAATTATTCATGGATGTAGTTAAATCTTAAGTGCTCTTATATAATTCTGTGTGATTTTATATACTACGTAAGAGCAATGAATTATTAAATTGCTAGTCAATTTAACTCGTCATATTACTGCGGTAGTTCAGTAAAGTTGTGTTTCAAGATTAAAAACTTATTTTAGCGCGCAATTTAAAAGACTACATACTTAATATGTAAATTTAAACACAGAGTTATACAATCATTTATTCAAAGAACGAAAAGTTTAAATCAATTTCTTGTTTGGATTATTTGACCATTCTGACATATTTTTGTCTAATATCTATTTAATGTTTACTAAGAATTTGTTAAGAAATGAAATTTTCTCAGGAATTATTAGATATTTTTTTAAATTATAGTTGCCATTTTTCTCGGTTTTCAAATAAAAAAAGGTAAAAGTAAGAAATAAATTAATTTTTAATTTATATCTAAAATTATTAATGAAATTCAATACAGTAAACGCATTTTAAAACTTTTACTGATCTATAATATTATTTTTGTGTATGAGTGTTCTTAATCCTTTTTTTGTATCATTACTGTAGAAATATTCCTCAAACACAGATACATGAAAGATTAAATATATGAAACAATTCAAATTATTTTTAAGAATGAAAATAAAAAACTTTTTTTCATTTATATTAGATTGTTTCTATTTACCAATAATAATAATAATCTGATTTTTAGTTTAATTAAATATTTTTTTTGTTTACAATGTATATAAAGATTATTTTGAAATTATATTAAATATCTCGTTTTTTAGCTTTCATTATTAATTGTAATATAATAGGGGCAAAATATGTTAATTTATTAAAAAAAATATTAACTATAAAAATTCACAATTAATGAGTAGAAAATCTCGAGGAAATAGATTTAAATTTAGTCGTATTTTGTTTTTTAAAATTATTTGAATTATGTTTTATGTATTCTTTTTATACAACGTGCGAGGAATAAACATTCATTAAATTATTATTTTTAACTTACGACTTACGTTGTATATACCTTCGTGCAGATCAAAGTATAGTTGATTCGCAGTAACTGTAATTGATTGATTATAATTCTCGTTCTTTTAATATTAGAAGCACGTCAACGTAATTGTGATGTCGTCAAATCGTCTTGTTATCTCGAAAGATTTTCGAATGAGCATGTACAATGTTTCTGATGTTGTCATAAGGTTAATATAAAAGGTAAACTTTACCAATGATATTATGTTGAATTTTTGTTCTCGATAACAAATATTGGGACTTATCGAATTATACATACAATTAAACATAAGAAGCTTTCCATAGAGAAATTATATAATGATAATAATTTAATAAATATTAAAAGTAAATTAATAAGATTATTTTCGACAGTGTATCTCCAGTAGATCTTATTTTAATAGTAGAAATTTAATATTCAAGATTACATAAATCCAGAGACACGGTAGTGACTCGGCGCTAAAATTATAATACATATGCATCTAATGAGAATAGAAAAACTATATATATTTCCAGATATATATTTTCAGATTTTTTGCGATATTTTTAACAATTAGAAATAATTAGTTGCGCACCTAATAATTAAAATAAATGAATAGAAAAATGTATTTAATAATAATCATGCTGTATGATTATAAGATAAAGATTTTGGTTTTCCGTGATCAAAATTTTTTTCCGAAAAATATATAACTAATTAAAAAATATATGCTGTTAAAATTGTCGCATTATATTATAGAAGAGGAGAGAGAGAGAGAGAGAGAGAGAGAGAGGAGAGAAAGGTGGACATCTGATTTCAGAAATGCTTCACCTACAATAAAGTAAAACTACAATAAAATAAATTCTAAATAACTTTCTATAAAATTCACGTTTAAAAAAAAATAACTGTTTACAATAATCATGTAATCAATAATTTATGTAATATATTGAGCATTGATACAATTAATTATTTATATTTTAAAATAGATTTAACTATAAGAAAATAAGAAAGATTTTATAAAAACAGAATAAAATTTTGTGAAATGTCGAAAATTTTAGAAAATATTTTTATTGTCTTCAATTAAATATATCGTTTTATTTAATTATTTTTTCTAATATTCAAGAACAAAACGGAATAGCATATGTTATTTTCAAATTTATTAAATATATTCAATAAATGCATCTCATAAAATATTACAATTGTATAAAGACAGTTTTTGTTAATTTTTCAAAAAATATCAATTGTATATATATATATATCACATGGGTGTCCAAACATTGGCATTATCTTTTTCAGTAAAAAAGAATTCAGAAGATTGGTCACACCAAGACTATACATTATATAATCTTTTAGATATTACAATCCATAAACAATAAAACATTTTTCATATAAGAACACATAAATATTTACAATTTTATATAAAATAATAAATTATACATTTATATGGATAGAAAGTATACAACAGAACAGAAATATATGTATAGTCAATTTTATATATATGTATATATATTTTTATATGAAAAATTTTTTACTTGAAATATGTAAATGACTTATATATTATTTGTGCTATTATTCTTTTTAAAATTTTCAAATTCATATATATCTTATCTTAATTTTGACAATTCAAAATAGTTAATGTATTAAATACAACACAAAAAAATTTGAAGTTACATATACTATCAAATGCAATTTTGTATATTATAATACATATAAAGAATTAATAATTTTATTTTTTTCTTGTTTATCTCCCGAAATCTGCGTATTTGCAATGAATCGATTAATGCATTTGATTGCACATTTTATTATGCTTTATTTATTAAATCAATAAAACTTTTATATCATGATGATTATTATTACTATTATTATTATTATTATTATTATACCGCTTTGTTATATTAATGGCATTCTAAAAACGTTTTTAAAATCAAATTTTAACCTAATAACAGGCACAATTCGTAATTATAATAAATTATCATACTTGTTATACATAATGTCTCTTTTTTTCTCTCACTAATCTCAGTTATTATACTTTTGTATTATATATTAAATATTATAGTTGCATCAAATAGATGGAATGTAATCTAATTTATATTAATAACTTTTTACAACACGTTTATACTAAGATCTCCTGTCATATAGAATACAATTATCTTCTACTGCAATATTCAATTATTGTGAACTGTTTTCATTTTTTTATGAAGAAATATTCTTTCTCTATTGGAAAATACAGGTACATTAAATCTTAAATTATAGACAATTAAATATGTAAAGATTTTATATAGAAGATTTTTTAGTGTATTACCCGAAGTATTTGCATCTTCTTTAGAAATATAATTTTTTGAATAGACTTTGTTTACTTATGATTATATCAAAAGATTTTAAATCACTAGTTACTATATAACCAATAACAAGTTTTAATTATATTTTGTTAGATAATTAAATATGTTGAACTTTGAAGATGCAATATTTATTAAGTAATAATGCCTATTACATTTGAACAAAATAAACTATATTTGAAGAACAAATAATTATAAGTTATTTATTTACTTTTCGAAAGTTAAGTTCAAATAAAAATAATATATAATAAATCTTCATTATACTATAATATTCTTTATTTTTAAGAAAAACATTAATTGAGGTATTAATTAATGTTTTGTTAAGAATTATTAATCTAAAGTGAATGTACTTATACTTTAAATTAGACTTAAATCGCATGGTGAAAATCCGATCAGCCTTATCATAAGAGGCAATATAAAATATACTAATAAACAGAAATTTGAATACATCTATACGATATGTATCAAAGTGATAAAAAGATCCACTTAGCCATTTTTTTTATCATCATAATATAAAAGCCATATAATATAGAATTAAAACATAAGAATCACCTTTTGCATATCCTGTTTGTATTGTAAAACAAATTACTAGAAATTTTTATTATTAATTTGCGCCAAATTGCGATAAATTTTCAAAAATATTTATTCGTAGAGCGCAAACTTATATCCACAGAGCAGTTGGCATCATTCCTTCTACTGTTCCAGCAGCAGGTTTTAAATCTTCATTGCATAAGAAATTTAGTGGCAAATCGACTAAGTGTCCCTAAAAAAAATATACGTTTGATGTGATCAAACAATAAATCTATGCACAAGCATTTAAAATGCTTGACACTTACCTTTATATTCTCCACCATTTCTTGCGCTAATAATGGATCAGATATAGAGAGAGATACTTTTTCTTGATATTGTTTCAATATAGCGAAATTGACTACTTTATCGGTGGGAATACAGTGAAATACTTCTTCATATATCTCCGTATTTTGTTTGCTTCTAGCGCACCATATGTCCTTGTAGAATGATCTTATAACGATGTCATCGATTTCGATATCTTCTTTAGTATTCAATACTCCTAGATGTTCGCGGAATAATTGTTTTCTCAAAGAAGAAGCAAATTTACCACAAGGAAAAGGTATATCATTCATACGTCCATCCTCAAACTCCTGGTCCTGTTTTGCAAAAATTACAGTTAGTAATAGTATTGATTAAGTTGATACAAAAACACAGAATAATGATAAAATCAAGGGCTTGTTTTATAAACTAATACAATTTTATAAAGTAATACAATATAAATAAGACAAATATAATATAATATACAAATTATAAATTTCAACGTTTTTTAAAAAATTTATGTTTATGTATATATAATTTTACATAAAATAAAATAAGCTTAAAAGAAAATTATTTAAATTTTAAACGATAATTATTATTTAAATTATTGGTATAAAAAATATAACATGTCTTATCTTATCATACTATATATTTATTTGAAGTTATTAATAAATCTTTTGTACAATAGTAAAAAATTTTCATTAGTCATATATTAAAATCTATTTATATTGAAGATATAGGAATAATTTACACCACATATGATATGATATACTCACGTGAATTATTACGGCTATTTCACTGTCCCTTGTAGCAATCATACTTCTATCATTTACATTAGCTGACCCACAGATTACTGTGTTGTCATCTATTATCATTAGCTTACTATGAACATAAATAAGTTCCGTTACCATTGTACCATTTAACATAGAATGAGTCCTCAAGCCATGGAATGTGATGTACTCGCTTGGATCTTTTACACCTGCCTCCAACAACTGATTTAGAATAGAATCCTTTCCCCTGTTATCGTCATATAAGAAAAACATTTATGTGTGCCGCTTTTCTCTCTATTTATATTTAGTGAAATGTACAATACCTTGATATAGAATTATAATTCCAATGAGTTATCGCTCGTAATGCCGTGCCGCTTGGTCCTCCAACTTCTCCTTCAAAACCTGGCAACAATGGCATTACGACAAATACTCTGAACACCGCGCCTTCCCTGTGCGCTCTCAGGATTCTTTTCAATAATGTCTTACCAATTTGATTCTTTACACCGCCTTTGTCCATGGAGGCAAGTGTTATAAAAAATTGATTTTCTATGTATATATACCTACACATTTATTCAAATTAGCAAAATGCTACATGGAATTATGGAATATATGTACGAAATCTTACCTTTCCGCTTCACTAATTGCCTGGATATAAGCTTCTTGTATACTTTGCTCTACAGTTTCTGGATCGAGAAAGCCAGCCGACCAAGAACTTACCGAACGCAGTACTTGACACTTGACGTTGTACTTGTTTGCCTCTTTAATGAACGGAGCATAGCTCTTGCAGTCTTTGTATGATTTTGGTAATAAGTAAGGATAACATGAATTAAGATTTGCTTTTTCTAGCTATAACAAATATCAGTTTTTAGCGTCCTACTTGAGTATTTGAATTTGAAATACATATTTTATCAAAAATGTATACCTTGACGGCATTCCAACGTTGTATAAAATGTCTAGCCACGTCTCTAGCGGCAGCGTTTTGCACTAAAACTCCTATATCGTGCCAGGGCATTCTAGGAGTAGTAGTTCTATCTACTAGATCCTGATAGGGCCTCTCAAGATCGTTAAAGTCTTTGACAATGAAATTTGTGTAGTCTTTACCAAGCCATAATTTTGTTGTGGGTTGTAAATTGCAGATGTAATCTACTGTATCTTCAGATACTGATAAATCTATATTTTCATCCGCTTCATGAGAAGTGTATACCATGTTAATTAATTCTTGTCTTTTCATTTTCACGGTGTTCTTCATTTTATCGACGGTTGT